AAGCAGTGGTATCAACGCAGAGTACTCTCGGAGTCTGTGTAAACCACCGACGACTTTCCGAAAAACAGACCCGTCAACTTTTTGAACGATAGAAAAGGAAGGGCCTAGACTGAGAAACCCAAGTGCATTATCAGATAAATGAGTGTCTCCAACCACCGTGACTTTAGCCAATTGGGCGGAAGAACTTTTATTTTGAGTTGAAGACTCGACAAGGCGGTGGATTGGAGGTAAGCTGCTTTCAACGTTACCTGGATTTTCGCGAGCAGCCCTCCGAAGCTTTTCGTACTTGGCGCAGAGTCTGGATTTAGCTTCAGATCGAATAGAAGCACAAATCGATCTCGAGCCGTTCTCTATCCTCCTCCAAGTCCGAGCAGGTACGAGACGTCGGCACGCTTCTTCTTTACGAGTACATTTCAACAAGGACGAGTATAACACATGCTGTTTTTCTTTGATAATGACTGCCAGAATCGCACGATAGATCTTCTTTATCTTCGAGTCATTCTCTTCGAGACTGCATAATGCTCCTAACTTCTTGTTTGAAATGAACTTTGGCACCGTGTCGGACGTCCTGCATCGTTGTAGATATTTGATTCTCGCTTATTTAAAAATATTATTAATTAATAATATTAATTAATAATATTATTATTTAATAATATTATATTATATTAATTAATAATATAATATTATTAATTAATAATATTCTCGCTTCTTCAAAAAGTGGTATCCCTCCGCCAGTCGATCAAATATCTACAACGATGCAGGACGTCCGACACGGTGCCAAAGTTCATTTCAAACAAGAAGTGAGGAGCATTATGCAGTCTCGAAGAGAATGACTCGAAGATAAAGAAGATCTATCGTGCGATTCTGGCAGTCATTATCAAAGAAAAACAGCATGTGTTATACTCGTCCTTGTTGAAATGTACTCGTAAAGAAGAAGCGTGCCGACGTCTCGTACCTGCTCGGACTTGGAGGAGGATAGAGAACGGCTCGAGATCGATTTGTGCTTCTATTCGATCTGAAGCTAAATCCAGACTCTGCGCCAAGTACGACAAGCTTCGGAGGGCTGCTCGCGAAAATCCAGGTAACGTTGAAAGCAGCTTACCTCCAATCCACCGCCTTGTCGAGTCTTCAACTCAAAATGAAAGTTCTTCCGCCCAATTGGCTAAAGTCACGGTGGTTGGAGACACTCATTTATCTGATAATGCACTTGGGTTTCTCAGTCTAGGCCCTTCCTTTTCTATCGTTCAAAAAGTTGACGGGTCTGTTTTTCGGAAAGTCGTCGGTGGTTTACACAGACTCCGAGACCAACTGCGAATAAGGGCTAGACTAAACAATGACCAAATACAGAATGCTCCAAATTTACAGTCAAGACGAACAATTCCGCCCATACCTTTTCCAAGTTTGTTTTACAAAGAACCTCAGCCATCGGCTGAAGCTGATGTCAAGTTTAAGATTATCTCTGCTGGTGTGCTAAATGCTTACCGTCATCAAGCTAAGCACCCACAACCGATCAACTTGACTCATTCGCAATTGC